GTACAACGGTTGATAAATCCGGGGTATCAAAAATCGGCAGAAACTTTTCGGACAACCCAATACTTCGCTGAGTTCATAAGGTGCCCCTCTTCATATTCATCAACTGGAAGTTGCAAGGAGTTGTTTTGGGTCGCTGCAATCAAGGGGTATTATTTTCGTTGTGCAAGCGAGGAAATGAATTGATGACAAATTTCTTGGAACGGTGAGGCTACATATTTCACCAAGGGGCACCTTTGAAAGAGGTTTCAAAGACGATTTGTGTCCATTTTACTTTTGGCTGGTACTGCTACGGTTTGTCATGTACTGCATTTTGCTGCCAAAATCGAAACGTCACTAGCAGAAGTGTATTGTTGTAACTGCGCCAATCTGCCTCACAGTACATAGATGGTTTTGTAATTCCTCAAAATGCGCTGTACAACAAAAAAGCGAAAGTGATGATGTAGCAAAGCAGTGATTTCGGGCGAGGGAAGTTACCTTGTCATGCATTATGGAATTCGCGCATTCGAAACTCCTGGAATTATACTGACTAACAACCCAGCGCCCAACCATCTCAGAAATCTGCAAATCCGAACTCTCCTGACTAAGAAAAACGTTGATAGTTCCGCGGATAGAGTCAGGTTCCTATTTCGTTCACTGGTGTTCACTGATGAATGTTTGCCTCTTGCCACCAAGAACGACTGCTTCATCAGAGGCAACGCACCGGACAGGGACTCATAGTGCTGACGTGTTTCACCTTCGCTAGGTATCTGGAAGGGGCTGACCGATCTTCAGCATTGTTTCATAACAGACGTTAACACGAACACTGAGCCAACTATTTATCAAGCTATAACAACCTCATAATACATATTATGGTATACTCGTAACAAGAGTGCCTACTGTAAATGCTTGAATAATCCTGAAGTACTATCACTTATGTAATCATTCACTGGTTTCACACATTCACATCTGTCTGCCATCTATAGTCAATGAACCGTCAAGTCACATACTGAATACTAAAACTAATCACAGCATTTGGCGAAGCTGCCACATCGTCAGAAAAATAAATTAGAAATTTTTCCCGAAAATATTCAATAGTAAATGCCCGAGATTGTAGAAACCACTGATTTTCAAATATCGTTAATGTAGCTTTTCAAAGTGATGAAATCAAAGCACCTTTGTTCCGTTCATACCTTAGCAATGTTTGTATTAAAAGATGCAAGATTTCTGTTGATCAACTATGTACGAAAATAATACGTTAATTTAGGAATTATATACAAAAGCTCTTCTCATGATAGATCTCTACAGAAGTGCAAGGCCGGCTCATTATTGAACCTCGTTTTCAATGATTGGGACGGGTTTGCGTCGAGTCAGATTGGCCTTCAGCTCTAAGGTCGTCTTGAGCTCGTTCAAAATTGCCTGAAAACACATACGGATTTGACGGTGAAGTGCAACTAGTAATCAGTGATGCTTTGAGAACTCACTTCATAATTTTTTCTCTTGGCTTCACTAAATGGAGTTGTACCGAATTCGTCAACAGCATAGGGATCAACACCCTTCTCCAACAAGTATCGCACTGCTTCCGGCTGATTGTGTGTGACCGCCTAGAATTATTTTGTTCTTATGGCTCTTGAAGATCTTGCGCACCACTGTCGGCGATTGCTCGTACAAGAGGATGATCAGACAAGTATCCAAATAAAAGATACATAGATCGAAGCAACTACCCTCGAACGACTAATCACATTCTGAGGACACAGTTGTCTCCCAGCTATGCCCACAGACAAGGGGAACGGTTTTAAATGGACTTTGATATTATTATTATTATTATTATTATTATTATTATTATTATTATTATTATTTTATATGGACTTCTACTTACCACATGCAGTGCAGTTCTCTTATCATAATCCGTTGCAGACAGATCACTGCCCGCTGCTTCCCAACATTTCAGTTGTTCAACATCGCCATGGGCAGCTGCTAGGCAGAGGTCCACTCCTGAAATTAGTGAGAGAGTCCCGTGAATGTAACAGCTCACGTTAAGCGAAAAGACGCATAACCGAAGCAGTCCTGCATGACATACGTGACCCTTACCAAGCTTGTATGGAGGTATGTCGATGATGCCACCAGCATCACGAAGCGCTACAACACAAGGAAGCGCTTTTGCCTTCACCGCACATAGAAGAGGATTGTATCCGAACAGATCCCTACAAGAAGAGAGTCGTAAAACACAAAAGGACACAGTGCTCCCTGATCAAAGTGCATATGGGGCCCTTAACATTCTGTCGAAATAACAAATGAAAGCGTCTTGTGCTATCGATGCCATAGCGTCGATCTGTTGTCCCAAGGCTTCGTAAACAATATCTCTCCAATGATTTGATGCACCTAATTATCTCAATTTTTGAGCCTTCTCCGTAATGTCGTTTTTGAAGCTGAACCGCGTGCTTAGTTGATCGGAAACTTGGATAGTACTTCGACCTCTTTTATTTTAATCAGCTGGACCACCCGGCTTTTCCCCAAACGAATGACACACTTATATCCACAAAACATTTGAGGGTGATACCTGGAATGACTAAAACCAGACCTCAAAGGAGGGGTCCTCGTCATAAAAAGGGTTATGTAACTGGTATTCAAGGTGCGACGACCCCATGGCAGATATTCCTCATTATCAAAAAGCGAACTATCCATCAAAGGCTAGATTTTTCTTTCTATTGGGTCCACATTAACAGCGACCTTCTGAAATTGAAGACCTTGATTAACAAACTCAAGGCATGAATGATAACTCTCATTGTGACCGACTAATGATAACCCCATTGACAGAACGTTATCTAGGTCCTTCTTTTTTCGTGACGTTGGCCGATATTCCCGAGTACTCGGTACTTCTCCTCGACAATGATAAGCGGCAGTGGGTTCGAGGCAATTACTGTATCCTTCCGCTGGAAATCCGACACCGGACCTTACTCCTCCTCGTGTTAAAACTCGTCCGCTGCCGACATACTTCAAGCGAGCCCGGTGCGCCATTCGCAGATCGCTCCAGGCCCGAATTAACAATTTTGCGCACGCCCCGCCCTTGTGGGCGGAGTCCTGGGCGGAGTCCCATCTACCATGTGTTCTTCCTTCCACCTATATACTGCCAAATTTGAATGCTCTATATCCAGGGGAACAGTACTTACGAATTTCCGGTCAAACACACATACCGACAGAACAACAGACGGACTTAACGCATATATGTAGTAAGATCTAAGGGTGGAGGGTGGTGTAGCCAAGTACCGCACTATCACACACTCATAGTTCGGATATCGACATCTGCTCAGTCCAGCCAAGCTTTCCATCCTTTCGGTTCGCTTGGTCAGTACCAGACCTGTCTGTAAGGATGAAAGCATAGATTTGAACATGGACTGGGCTCCTTAGTCATTGTATAGGCCATATACGCCTTAAACCTGCCGATTCTGAATGGAAGTCGCATGAGGAAGCCCATCTTAAAGACAGGGATGATCAGCACCGAGAAGTCTATGTCCTTTTATCCTTTATCATACATAATGTAGTTCGGTTACTATGCCCGTCGGTGTGTCCGTGTGTTCATTTAACGGATGGACACAATATAATCTGTACGATTCTGTACGGGGGAAGAACTTCCAGTAGATATGAAACGAACTTACGAACAAAAGAACCTGAAATGAACTTACTTGACGTGAACATTTGCGCCGATGCTGAGCAAATATCTCACGGCCTCCAAATTTCCGCTAGTCGCTGCTACATGCAAGGCTGTACGGAGATTATAGTCACATACGGAGAAGTTTACACCAGACTCCTATAACCACGTAAATCAGAATTTGAATTCATAGGGAGCTGTGCTCATGACTATGTGGAACTCTTCTGTGGACCTCTGTCTAACTATGCCCTAAGCAAAAATGATTTCCGACTCGAAGAGAAGATTTTTAGTTTTGACAGACAGGTTGGTGAGGATTACCTTGATACTTTTGAGAATTTCCACTTTGTTTGTCTTCGCAGCGCTGCACACCAATGGTGGAAGAATAGTGTCTCGAATCAGTTGTACCTCAGTACCCGACGACAATCGCAAGCATCTAGCGATATGAGGGACTGCAACTGTTATATTGAGCTTACCATATATCAACTAACATTGATGTTTGGATACTCACTGATATCAAGTTCGCGCATCGCAACCGCCTGATTAGTCACGGTCATCTCGCCGCGAAGATTTGCTTGAAGCATCTGAAAAAAAGGTACTTAATTCGATGGTTGGAAAGGGAGTAAAAATTAGCTAACATATGTGAATAACGAGATGGAACAGTGTAAAGGCTGTCTTCATACTAATCAGGAAGCATAGAAATTAAGATCAATCCCCAGCACATGGCATTACTTCGTTGTTATAAAACATGAGTTGCGATTGCTGCGGTAAGGCTCCGGAAATCCTTCACTCTAACCCTTTCCCCACTCTCTGCAGCTATTCCGATCTATAGATAAAAAGGTAGGACTGGAAGTCGTATTTAGTACTTTTGAACGCTTCAGGCATGGCCTTCACCCATAGCAAATGATAACTATCGCTCTCTTGATAACATAAAGTGACAATCACACTTCAAATTCAATTGGTTAGGCCCACCGCCCTTCTTTTTTCGATATTGAAGGGGTTCCCTTAACGGTTATTCAGTTAGATTCATGATTTGCCTGGAATTTATGTAGGCATGTAGAAGCTGGTAACAAATTCACATCACCCAATCATAGGAAACGAGCATTAGGAACGGTTTGTGTAATCGATCCGCCGCACGCGGCTGTCGCGGGCCATTTGATTCGTTATAACAGTTCTAGCGTTCTTCATGCAGCTCAATCGCTATGCGACTATTACTTATAGCATAATTCTGCTGTTAGTCCTTTTGTTCCCGAATTTGTTATTTGCTGCTGCATTCTACTACATTCCTTTGCGCGCGCGGCGCCTCTCTCGCCGCGACGCGACGATTTCGTTCATACTGCACCACACCCCCCAATCATCGCTCGGATTGCTGACGGTAAGCCGTACTAAACAAACCAGCAGAGTATCGAAAAGTTAGGAGAGAAAAAGGTTCAAGTTCCTACTAGCTAACATTGTTATTCAACGAAAAAGCTCTAAGTGATATTCAGGGGAATGGCGTCATCCTATGGGAGCCACAGAAATTAGAATCTACCATAAACGAAGAATATGCTTTAAAAAAGGAAATTGAGAACTGTATGTTCAGTGTACCATTCGCTTAGTCTCGTGATCCCACTCGTCTTTACCCAGCACGTAGCACATTTTAGCCATTGCTGCTTCTGATGTCATATCCGATCCCGGTATTACACCAATATCATAGAGCACCTGGAATATCAGCTACTACATTACTCTTTCTAACACAAAATAACTATGGAAGTAGAAGAACACTTTTTGAAGGCCTCAAATGATGCATTGAAAATATTTGTTATCATTTAGCTGTTTAGAATTCATAATCACATCGTGACTAAACGCTTTTTAACTGATCAGGGAAATCTAAGAAAAACGTGTTGTTAATTCCAAAGTACAATGCGCCCAGAAGTGCAAAGTATTCTGGCATGGGGTGTTGACCAAAAAAGGTTGAAAGTGCATGTTTTGCAATAAGGCCAGCACGAAAACAATGTGAGAAATGGCGGTAACTGGTTCTACTGAGAGGTCTACCAAGAGCAGACTAAACCCTACAACATCTGCCACATATTGGATTGTAGACGAGGCAATAAAAATGAAGTAGAAGGATGAATAACAAAGTTGGCAAAAAGGAAAGCGCTCAGCTATGACAGCGTATGAGTAAAGGATAAATCTTCAAGAGAAATAAATAATTTCGTTGAAAACAATGTTCGAATAGCTACCCAAACTCCTACCAGGGGTAACTGGCTACAAAGGAAGAGATTTCAGTTCAATATACTCTCGAACAAAGATCGTTACTGATTCCAACTAAACTTGATATGAGTCGTTACTGAGTCATGCTCAAGTATAGGGAATTTTATGGTAGAAACATGGCTTTATAAGAAAAAGCTGGCACTATTCCACGTTATTTGCTGAGTGAATTACTTTGTATACCATTTTGCTTGAGTTAGCACTCATATTACACTGAAGGTATCATCAATTAAATATGAATATGACACAATTCACGACTAGTTAGCTCAGAAAGCGAAGTGTGGACAAGGCGGCCTGAAAGTAGCAGTAAAAGTGAGGAAGAGGATGCTGATGGAAATAGCTCGATGAAAGTAATGTCGAATGAGTGAAACTGTCGGCAGGGTAAACAGGGAACCCTGCCTTCAAGCACGTAGCGTAGACAAAAACAACACTGTTATCAAACGTTTTCTTGTCTCTAGGGTTATCTTGGCCCAGTCATGATAGAGATGACAGGTGACTCTTAATCCGATAAATGCCTCAGAATCACAAAGGAGAAGGGCTTCAGCAAAATTTATCAGATTTCATTGTGCCTGAAGATAGTCCTCTCACGCAGCACTTCTCTGGTATGCTTACAAAGCAAAACGCAATCACTCATTTTGCCTCTAACAGTTAAGTGATGATGCGCGTAGTGCCGGGAACACTACAGACATTATTATCTTCATCGATGATTGACCTTTCCCAATTCCACCATAACCTCTCGAAGGAGCTGACGTGTATTCCTTTTTTTGCATTTGCTTCCCAGCACGTTATATCGTACCAGCCCTCCATCCGTCCTTCATCAAGCTGTTGGTTTTCTCCAACCGATGACTTCATCATCAAACAAACTGATTTCCGTGGCTATCTAAATACGGATAGCGCCACCGTTGAAAGCATCTGCTTCCAAAAATGGATTGATAAAACGAGATTCATGCCAGAAACTCAAGTTCCATGTCGATTAAACCTCTAATAATCGCTTATACATTCACAAAAGTGGTTGTTCTGAAGACGTTCTCGCATGTGAAGAATTCTCAACTTAAGATGATGCCAAATCGTCACGTTCTCTCGAAACCCAAGTACTATGAGGCGATATCCGTAATTTCAAAGCGTAGCAATGTAAAGGACATTTGGTTAGCAAAACATGTCGTACGTGAACAAGGCGACAAGAAGAGGGAGATGCCACGACCACAAAGTCCACGCACTAAGATAACCTGGTGATGAGATGCAAGAAGTAATAGCTGTAATGATCTGTAACAAACTCCATCGATCAAATCCTGTGTGGGTACTTGTCCGTGGGGGAAATCTCGCCGGAGAAATCAACCAGATCTTGACTTCGACAAATCCCGAGAAAACTCGTCATAAGCCACCATGTCTCGCCCGTACAAAGCATAACTTTCTGGTAGAGTGGGGGCCAGCTACGCAAACGAACTCCTGCTATGTTCCTCTTATGCCATTAATTAGCCGAAAACAATTCTCGATAACCCAATGAAACCACCAGAATGTGAACGCAGGGAAAACCGAATGATCGCCCACCTATTCCAACAGACAAGAGCTCAGAAGAGTAGGAGTGCTCCGATGCCATTGTTTGTATATTTGAACGAAGTTTATATCTTCCACAAGATCGCGACAAGAGATCAGAAGGATGCAGAAGGTTCAAAATTGGGCTGAGAGGCCTAAACACCAGCAGGCTGTTTCTACTGAACATAGTTTGGTTTCATCTCGTATACTGACCGCAAAATTCGGGCTGAGCTCTTCGCGCTATCTCCGGATCTCCTACCCTCACTTATATTGTGTCTCGAGCCTCCTATAAAGTGGCATATCTACCTAGGCTTGACTGCCTAACGCTTACCTTTGCGCTTTCGCAAGGCACGCTTCAAGATGTGAGCTTACTCCTCTCACCACGGGTCTGGTATCTTCTCCCCGAGCGGCGTGTCGTGCTCGCCGTACGCGATTGCGCGTTGTGATGGATAGATTCGACCCAGTGAAAGGATACGGAAAGTCGCCACGGAACCACTGCCGCAGGCCGTGGGAATTCGGGGGTAAAATGATTAACGAAAGTGTAAAAAATTTGGCCGTATTTTCCTGGTTACGCTCCTTATCTACCTCACTTTGCAGCACCATGACGGATTTGAACATTAACCCAGTTGGAATGGAATGAGTGGATCCATTTTTTCCCCTGTGATTCAAAATTCTTTTCAAATAGATGCAACTCAGAAGATATGTGTTCCTCCTGTGTTCCACTTATTTCAGAGATTTCAACAGTTAGCACCAATCACCAAGTTCATTATAAGAATTACTAAAATCGAAATCGTTTTTAAAAATTTACCTTTCCCGTAGCGTAGTTCACATCCACTTGTCCCTTGACACACTGTGAACAGTTGACAATAAGACATCCTCTACTGATTGCTTCCTTAAAACGAGGAATAATCAGAGAGCTGAGAACATTTTCAGAAAGTATGAAACCATAACTCGTGCATACTGATTTGTACATGATAAACAACTTCGAGTCGAGGGGTAAAAGCGCCTTTGAATATATCAAGACTTCTTTGAAAGGCATGGACACCTCTGAACGGTGGGGCGCCCAGCGATCTAAGAATGGGTCATGCACTTAAGCCCAACTAGGAATCGAAAATTAATCGTTTTCCAAGGGTCTTCGATGTATCTACACCATGCATAAACTTGTGATGCCTTCTCAGTCGTCATCCGCAGCTCAGTGCTTGAGAAGACTATGGCTTTGGAAGGATGAAGGACTGATCAAGTGAGATGATATAAACTTCACACTTCCTACAGGGATTGGACGTTCACCTCTCAAACACTCTGTTCGCTCCCTCTGACTTGTACTGATACCTTTCAGTAACAGGGGATCCAAGGAAGTGGATCCACCGGTTTTGCTTCAAGTTTGAGGGAACGCTTTTTTGGGTTCACTGAAACAATTGCTAAGTAGCGACCCTTGTTTTATAAAAGCAATGTTGTTTGTTCAGGGCAAAGAACGACCATAGCATAAGAAAGAACAACTAACTAACATTGAAGTCTAATTCTATTAGGATATCGACAGGGGAACATTCGGGCTCTTAAATTTGTTTGAGGCATGCATCGCTACAGTACCCTCCCTAATCCAATTCGTGTGCACATCGTCAGAAATAAGTTTCTAAGATTTGGTCGAATTTTTCTAAAATGTTGTGAATGTGTATGAACGGAATATGAAACTGAAAAGCGGTCTCTACAGCTGTTTTTCTTGAAAGCAATAACTTGGTTCACCGATTTGTCGGTCTGCTTTTTTTTATATACCTGTTCGTCCACAGAACTTCCCATGGTCACGATAAAGGTAGAGATATGGGAAACCCACGGCAAACTTATGTAGTGACAGTTAGGCGGAAGCTCAAAAGATACTTACATAATAGTAGAGAACCAGCTGGAGGCATCAGATCCTCCATGCAATTACGAAATTCTACGAAAAGGTTCAGTACCTCGCGAAAGAAACAGCATGCGCCCTCTAACCCTCTGACAGCAACTTCTTTGAAAACACTGAGCACATTCCTCCTCATTGCTCAGAAGCCATCTCAGAGATGAGTTCTCGAAGGAAAGGGAAAAGAACGTTACTCACGGTTAGAGCTTCAATAATATCCTTTCGCCTTGTCGGCATGTTACCAGCACCGAATGTTTGCAGTATGACACCCTTCGTTGGTGGTTTCAAGAATGCGCGTACCTAAAAGAGAACCTGTCAGGGAAATGAAGCCTATAACAGAATGGTTTCTAGCATTGACCCTTTTTCAATGTTCATGATATGGTTTCAAAGTTATAGAAGCCTTCAAATACAAAAAACTTTATGCAGATTCCTTTCCACTGAAGCTTCAGGATTACACAATTACTACAAAGAATTCAAGACGATATAGATTTCTAACAACTTAGTTAGTACGTATCAGACAGAAACGTCGTCCCATTTCTCCTCATTGATATCTGTAATGTCGGCCGCAGAGGGTGAAGGGCCAAGTGACGCACTATGTATCACACGCTCGTGGCCCGAGGATCAGGTCGCAGACCAAGCCACTTTCCCTTCTAGGTTTGCTTAACTGGTACCACACTCGTCTTAGGCTCAACGCTCTGAATTTCATACGGCTTCCCACTGCAAGTCATTACTATAATGGGCCATACAAGTATTCAAAGCGACACTACGATCCTAAAGGGGAGTCGAATACGGGTCGAGGGCGCTGATCAACGTCAAAGACTTCACACAACCTAAGTGCCAGTGTGAAAGATCGAAATCATATTTTGAAAAGAACGTTACCGATTCAATGCTCATGGAAGGGAAAATTCGCAGCAGTCCCACGTCTCGACAAAGATTATCGTGCACGGTGAAAGGATTCACATTGGGATTGCGGAAGATTGAATCGTAATAAACTGAAAGCAAGAACTATTCATGTACTCAGTGAGCATAGGGCAGAGGTGCTGGTAAATTGGGACGCATTTCTTATAAACTTAAATTTTTGATTAGGTGAAATCGCAGATAGAAGATGAGACGAAGTCCTAGTAAATCCTTTAGGCTATGGCTTCAAACTCCTGACGACCCTCACCTTTGATTTTGATATCCATTTTGGCCAAGGGGTGCATATTTGGACTGTCAAAAGCTTCAAGAGCAGCATTGTCAAGCTTGATGGTACGATTCCCTCTCATCAGCTTATTGTTGAAATAAACGCACACCTGTAAGCTAGTTCATGTTTTTAACTGGTATTCAGAGTGGAACTCGCTTCGAAACAGCCCACAGGGAGAATTCAGGGAGATATAAGTGGGAACTCATACTCTTCGTCCAGTCAGGAGACTCACCTCAGGAATGTCAAAGTTCGCAGCGACCACTAATGCTCCTATAAGATTTTCCATACCATCTGAGCGGACTTCAGCGACCGGTATCTGGAAGTGGCAGCAGTGGTAGGGAGCGAGAGTAGTTTGTTTACTATCAGCAGCTTAAACGACAATTACCTGACTACCAGTAATTATCACCGGTTTACCGAGATTCTCCATCATAAACGATAAGGCGCTAGCCGTATATGCTAATGTGTCTGTGCCATGCAGCACTACAAACCCGTCGTAATTATGGTAAGCCTAAACGATTTCATATATTAGCTTCTGCCTTCGTAAAAAAAAATTAAATAATTACAAAAATTCTAGCTAAAATCAACAAAGATCGATAAACACAATTGGTATCCAAACGAACATTTCCGAGGGAATACCTTTTTTATATCGGACGCGATACGAATCCAATCGTCAAACGTCATATCACAGGAGTCCAAAAGCGGTTCATATTCAACTATCTGAATGTGCAACGATGAATGTAAAACCTGTCTTGGAGCTGTATGCTCATTATGTTGAAGCCGACTGACCTATACTAGTTTTAGATACTAGTTAGTAACTCAAGTCAAAGTAGAAGTCAAACGAGGGTGGGTAATCCGATACTCATTCACGACTAGTAAGGTACTTGGTGAAGAACGCTTGTAATGTACTTTGAAACTCTTACCCAGTAAACAACTCGTTTTTCAGTGAACCTCACTGGTGGCAACGCATACGGTTTAACGAGGCAGTTGGCAAAGTTTTGATCGATGAACTTCTTGTCGTTGAGAGGTGGAATCGTACGAAGCACTTGTGGTAAGTAGCCAGCCTTCGGTGAATAAACTGAAACATCTAGTTAGAAGGCAGAATACCACTTTTCAACCACCATTTTTTGTGCTTGGCCTCCTTTCAGCTTTTTATTACCACGTGAAGCAACAGTTCAGCAGTAGCAGTAGTTCGGATGTGCTTATGTAGGTGTGGGTATGTATCATCAATGAAGAAAGACGGAAGCAAATAATGGATTATGATATGAGCGAATACAGAGGATATCTCTTATGTAGAGCCAAGAGCTATCGATCAAAATCATCGATTTTTTGCACGCACTGTAGCGTACAGAAGCCTAATTATTAGGTTGATGCATAATTACTGCGGATTTTTTCGCGGCTTTTTTTTCTCTCGATGGAATTTGAATATTGAGTTTGGGCTTTTCCTAGAAATGATCTACTTGATTTCCTCTACAAGAATATACTCAAAAAAACCATCCGCATATTCGCAAAATTAGGCTTAACTACTTCGAGAAAGATTGGAGGTGGCACAGTCATTCCGCGATCTCAGCAACTTTCCGGCGATCGATCATTAGGTGATCTAATGAAAGTACACATGATTTCGTGGTGGTCAAACACGATTATTCTGATATTTTCTATTTCCCCTGCATTTTACCTGCCTCTATATTTTAGGTTGATACATTATTATTGCGAATTTTTTCCAGCAAATTTTACATAAAGAAACTATAGAAATACTAAGCAAAGACATATTCAAATAATTACTCCGGAACTTGTTCACCATCTACGTCAAGCACTGCTTCCCATTGACTAGTTAGTCGGATCCCAAAAGT